AGAAATGGTCATTTTGTCCGATGACCAGTAGGGTCGGGGCCCTCGTTTGGTACACCGTCAAGGGTGGTATCTGATGGTGCAAAAGTACAGGGCTAGTCGTGAGGCCGAAGATTGCGCCTCCGCCGTGGATGCTTGTGGGCGTTCAATTCTTTACTGAGTCTCTTCAGAATACGCAAGACGGTGCGCATTCACATACAGATATCCGCGCAGTTCAATTGTAGCTGTCGATTCTGTTGAGCAGGTACAGTTCAATGACATGATTTTTGAAATGGGCTGTCAGCGACATCGGTTTAGCTTGTGTGCAGCTATTCGTACAACAGGACTTGTGTCGGAAACGATCGACACAGCATTGACCAGAAACGGGCGAAGATGCACCTCTCGAGTAACAAATCCATGAAGATTGCTTCAGCCGTAGCTATTGCATAGAGCAAACAATATGGAAATTTCTGAGGATTGGGTGGTAGTCGTTTTTGGATCCAAAATTTCAGGTTTCCCGACCAGAACTATAAAATCAAGTCGCGAAGCTATATTTTGGAATACGCAGCAACAGTAGGGCAATCGCCTAAAAGTATGTTAAATGTTCTGTGGGTTGCAATTGTTGCCAAGCATGCGACGCTGTATTATGGGGGACACACAGGGCAAGATTTGCATAACAGGAGCAAAAGGGCCAAACAAACTTCTTGCAATACATGTTGGGGCCTCAAGTTTATTCTGGAATGAGCAATGTTCCTTCTAAATCTTACCTAAGTGTTGCGCAAATGGTAATGGTAGTCAATCGTGTCGCAGCATGCCCAGGGCATGCTGCTCAACATCCAATTGCGCAGCTCAAAGCTAAGGTATAAAACCAAATGGATTCATTCCGAATGAATTTATTATGCTTGTGTCTGTCCAACAAGTTTGCAATACATTGGGCACAGTTCGCTTGCGCGGAAAACGTTTTAGCATGTGATGTTTGCCCTTTTCATAACTGGAATTTCCGCTGTCGTCGCACGGGTCCTCTAATACTGGGCAGGACTGATTGGGAAAAACAGTGAACGAAAGATAATATTACCTCACCAGTAGTATCGTGGGGTGCCTCCTAGCTCTCACAGCTGTCAACTTCTATCAGCATCGGCGCTGACGCCATTGGCGGGGTGTTTAATTTGATGCCCCTGCTTCTGCATTAACAAAATAATTCGACCTTTGGAAAAGGTGCCTCTCCGACATGGCAGCACCCGGGGGTTCGACCCGAACACCTTTGAGTGCTGTAGCCACTTTTGACTGCAGCAGTCGAGGGTACTCCACAGGAAACTGCAAAGGTGGCCGTCTGAGATGACAGCCACCCAGGCGAAATCCACGAAGCGGCAAGCCTTCGCCTGTCCTGCCTTCCGGCTCGATTGGATGTGCGCCAAAGGAGACGAATCTGGGGTAGTCCAGCTCCCTCACGAAGGCGTCGCCAGCGATTCCGCCACAGAAAACCCGGTTCAAACGGGCCTCCGGGCTTTGCACATCCAGTATCACCCGGATCTCCGGGTCTTGGGCGATAAACACGAGGGAAGTCACTTCGATTCTTACAGAATCGCATAGAAAATTGTGCGCTTGAGCGACGAGATTGCAGTGGGCGCGCTCTGTCTAAATCCGAGCACTGGAAACTTCAAACTCCTGGTCGTGAAGCCACTCTGGTCGGGCTGCTCGTCAAAGCCTGCAGGCCTAGCACATAGGCCTGCACACAGGCCTGCAAGCCTGCAGCCTGCTCGTCAAAGCCAGCTGTGTGCAAGAGTCGCACACGCGGAGAATGCCAGCGGAGTGTTTACAACTTCACGAACTATGGTCCGTCCGTTCAGCCTCTCAGACACTGGGCACAGCATCATGCGGCCCCAACACAGCACGGCGACCACTCTTCAAATTACATTAGCCACGTCAGAAAGGGCAGTAGAATCAAATCTTATACAATTCACATCAGGTCACGTCCAAACATGGCAGTTCACATCATTCTCACTCTCCTTGCGCCTCGTACTCTACTATTGGTATCACGTCAGAGCATGCTTTCGCAAAGTTTGCGGTGCAAACCCCTCAGCATGCTCTTCCAATCCTTACATACCCTCCTTGCAATGCTCAGGTGGCCATCGCTTCAGCCCTTCGTCACCTTTCCCAGCACACGCGCAGCGCCACAATCGAATCTGTGTCACGACCTGAAAGAATCGCAGGAATGTTCGCTCACACTTGTGGCTCCGCCTACCCTTTTACCACGTTACAATGTACTGATCCCAAACTATGCTGTGACGTCCCAGCCACGCCACAAATCAACCCAGTGGTAGTTCTTGATTGAATTCAAGGACTGAAGCACTCAGCCAGCGCATCAGCAACAAAAGTCTATGATGTTCACAACCAAATTCATGATTCTTGATGTTTCCGTGCGTTGCAGGTCGCATCCCTATTGGGCTGTCAGACGTCACAAAATCGCGTAAAATACATCTGCCTGAGGCAGAAGAATTGAAAAGCGATGATTTCACACCTCGTCCTAGGCTGTCCTGAATCAATTGCGCATTGATGAGCATGAAAATACGAGTCAACTTTGGCGTTTTAGTGCACGGCAATCACTGAGAAGTCAAACCTATTTCCAGCAAGCATCTTGAAAGTTCCTCCATCATTTAAGGCTGGACGTCCGAGCTTCGATTCATTAGTGTCTTCAGCATAGACTTGCAGCAATTCCCACGAATGTCCAGTCCCGCAATGACATTAATCACACAGATCGACCATCATCTTGTTTGAATCTTGGCAGCGTGGTCATCAAATTGTGTAGATTGCCTTGCAGATACCATAGATTGTTGTAACACGCATCAACACCTCTCTTGGGTCAGTTCGAATTCAACATCCTTGACGAAAAGCTTTGACCGTCGCTGCAAGGTCTTCCCATCTGGGAAGGCGTTTGGGACGTGCGATATCAGCCCTACAGCGTTCCCCTGTGCGCCTACGCTGGCTGCCCTGTCTACTACTACGAGTAATCCTGTTGCAGTACAGTTGGGCCCCTATATAGCGCCCCCCCGTGACATGGCCAAAATGGGGGCGCTATTGGGGGCCGGGGGCGCTAAAAACTTTATTTGTTTAATGCATCTGATTGTAGTTTTCGTCATAAAATGACACTCTCCATCATGAGAAGACGCAAAATAGACCCATTAGCCGTTTTACGGCCTGTTGAGATGCGAAATTGACCATCACACGCGTGTACCATGTGCCATCGTGTTACAGTAGTGGAACACCGTGTTTGGGGCTTGCATTGATGTTACACGGTGCCTGTCACAACTCACCCCGTGGACTTGCATGGCATTGCCCGCATTATGAATGCGGATAGCGCACAACCAGGCGTGGGCCCATCATACCGTAGAGAACGGGGGATAACGACCCCTTGCGTTGAGCATTTCTACAAATATCCGTAACGCGGGGGGCGTTATGAATGAAGTACCCCCGCGTTATCCAGTTTCCCCCCCTTGTTAGCTAACACAACAGTTGAGGCGCAGCGGCCACCATCCACGCAAATTGTAGGCCGCCGCCCACGCCCCCACCGTGAGGTGACGCCTCAAAACACCACCTTGCGCACCTTGCACCACCCACACACGCCGGTTAAGACGATCCTGCGCAGTGCTGCGAGTGCCCATTCCATGGTCAACGCCGGTCAACGGCCCAGCAACAGACGTGTCGTCCGCCGATATACCTTGTTCGCGGAAACGGTCGGACGCCGCCGCGGCCGTCCACCGGGCACCTCTCTTGGGTGTCCACAATAGTAGTTTGAGGTCCAACTGCGCAGCGAAGCTGCATAAAGTACCACTGAAAGGGTGACAAGCCAGAAAGGCGGCGCTATTAGGGGCCGGGGGCGCTATTTGGGGGTGCTATATAGGGACCCTGCCGTACATAATCTGGCCCCGAGAAACCCGTCACCTGTCCCCCTGGGACCGTTGCTGCACCGCCCCACCACAAGCGCTGGCGCCTCTCGCCGTTTGCGCGTTCCGCGTTCCGCAATCCCGCGCAGCCTTGGAGGCCTCCACCCGGCCAGTGGATCCATTGGCGTAGATTCACCAGGGGTCGCAGCCATAGCCGGTCCCACCGGTTGCCATCGGTGCTCACAGCCTTCGATCCCAATCGCCGGTGCGAGCCAATTGACGCACACTGCTGCAGCCGATCGGTGCAAATTCATCCTCCCGGCAGTGCTGCGTTGTCGGAAGCAGTTTCCGAGTGAGGACGCAGCTTCGTGAGCCAAGAGCGGGCGTCCAGAGGGGTGGCGCGCGGAGCCCAGTGCGTCGCGTCACTTCTTGGACCTCCGTGGCGTCGGTATCGCGGCCCGTATCCTGGCAGAATCGGGCACATGTCAAGATACCCATACGTCTCGCCGCATTGTCATCTCCGTATTCTCCTTTTATGCTGGAGTTTATCCCTTGGAGACGACTAAGCCTCTTCTTATATTTCTGTGTGTTTTCGCCACTTCCTAGCCACCTGTTGAGGCTCACTGGTCGTCAGCTTAGCATAAAGTTCATATCATATATTTGCGACCCGAACTAAATATATTCACAAATTTACTGCGGTTTCATGGTGGACTGACGGACTGAGGACTGAGGCAGTGTTCTGTTACGCACCTGCCCTACCAAGCTTGGCATTCATCTTGTTATCCACAGACACGTCTCCTCTGCAACAACGACCATTCAAAATGACAAATGCGTCATTTGCGGGGCTACTTTGCAAGGACGCACCCCTGGCACGCGCAACACATTTTCGCTCACAGCACCCAGCCATTCACGCTGTTCCCGTTATAGACCACGCACATGGAGACGGGGACGGGGGCTGAGACGGGTCAGGATTGGGCGGTCGGGCGGTCGGTTTGGCCGTTTCGGCGTTAGTGTTTAGTGCATGCGTGCATGGGTATGCACGTAACATATGTACCGTATGGGGTCGTACGCGTGGCCCGTATCAGGAACGGGCTCTGGCCATTGCCCACTCGCTCCTGGGCGACGCCAGCCGGTGCCGCGGACATGGCGGGCTTCCTTCCCACCACCCTCCTCACGGTCCTTGGGGACCGAGCCGCCGCGGCAGTCCTCGCGCCGCCCACCGGCAGGGACATGCTCACCGTGGGCCTCGGCCTGACCTCCGTCGCCGCCGTGGCCCTGCCCCTGGGCCTGTCCAGCGGGTTCCTGCGCCCCAGGCTTGTGCGCAGCCCCCTCAGGTGGCTGCTCGGCGCCGCGCTCAACTTCATGGCGCCCGGCGCGGTCGAGGAGGCCATCTTTCGCGTGCTGCTGATCCCCCATCCCGTGGCGGAAGCGGATGCCGGGGTTGGTACAGTGGCCGCGTGGGTGGCCGCCTCTACATGCCTGTTCCTGGCGTACCACCTGTCGCCGATGCACCGGCCCCAGCGGGTGTTCCGGGACGGGCGGTTCCTGGCGCTGGCGGGAGCGCTGGGGCTGGCGTGTGCGTTCGTGTACAGGGAGACGGGTGCGGGGGGGTGGGGGTCAGGGAGCGATGATGGCCGCGCATTGGTGTTCGTTTGTGCGCTGTAGGAATTTGCGATTGCGTTTGGGAATGCCCTTGGAAACGGGCAGGTGCTGTGCCGTTGGTTGAGGATAAACGAGTCCCGGTGTCTTTTCCGTGAAGATCCCTTATTCTTCCGCTGACAAGGCCAACGCCGGTCAGTGGGTCCGCGGTTTAGGGTGTCCGAAACAACACGGCATTTTCATGGAAAAGACAGAACGACCAATTTAATGCCCCGGTGGTATCTGGGTTTCCGGGTCCAATGCCACTGATGGCGTACTTGTCACAACGCGACGAGGCAAGACGTTTCACCAGCCGACGATGTCGGACGTCCCTTTCCGAGCATTGTTGCTGCTCTTCTCTGAGAGAGCTGGTCTCCTGCGTACCAACTGTGTTAGGGCGGTTGTAGCATTCACTTATTTGACGTGCTTGGCAAGGGTCAACGAAGGGGGTGCGTAGGTGCGTAGGCCAATGGAGGGTGAATGAGAATGTGTGTATCGCTGCAGGCTCGCTGTGGTGTGCCGCTGCTACACATGGTCTGCCAGTCACTGTCTGGCTGTACGCTTTGGGGGGACTGGAAATACTAAGAGGACCATGACTGCGCCCCGATCCTCTACACCATTGGCGGTTATAGTCCTGTCACCGGCACTCGTGAGGCGCTGGTTTGTGCACAAGTGCCTTGATGATTTGCCTGGCAATGCCCCAGTTTAACATCTGTTAGCTGCGTGCTTATGGATCGCCGCCGCCTGCAGTGGCAATCACGCGCCCTGGAAATGGCTGCTTCCAAAGGTGTGAAATATCGGCTTCAAAATTGAGATTAAACGCCACCAGTGGACAATGGCGGAAATGACGCCACGAAGCGGATCAAAGCGCACTATTTGGATCCTTTTAGCACATTCTTCGCCACCCAGTACAAATTTTGCGAATCATCTAGCACTATTCATACCAGAAGTCAATGGCGTGATGTGGCAAAATTGGGCCAATTTTGCATCATTCAACGTCTGGTACAGAGCAAAGGGGGCTGAATGGGGGCGGATGGCACACAATCTATGCTCTGCGACACACTCGCTTTTTGATGCTGATCCACTGGATTCAAGCCGACATGACGAGCCTCCAGTTGCGAAGAGCCCAATATCCCAAGATTGCAGCACGCGTCCGCGGGTGTCTCAACGCGCTCGAAGGTGCTGGATCCTCGTTAGGAAATTATTTTCGAATTGAATAGCCGTTGACGCTAAACCTGTTTTGTGGTACTCTGCATCTCTCCTGATTGCAGGACAACACAGAGTGCAGAACTGAAACAACGCTTGACTGAAGTCAAGAGGCCTTATAGTTGGATTGCCATTTCGTTGGGAACCAAACACATCCCGCCTAGCTGCCGCGAGTGTATGCTACACATATGTACACCAGCGTGATTATAGCAGATGTATTCACAATACTGTGAAAGCGTGCATTTGAAATGCCACAAGGAGACCTTAGAGCAAGAGGGTGGGAAATTAAGAAATTGCCGACGTCCGCAAATGGACCGAACCTAATTACAAGACAACGCGAGTGGTGTCCTGTGCATGGAGAGGACACCCAGCGCCTCAGAGCATGTACCTCATTCGTTTTAGCATTTGGTATTTTCGACTCATAGCATCCTTTCTAAAGGGCCGCGAGTGCGCCCCTGTCGTCTCTCAATAAGCAAGGCAACTTGTGAATGAGAATGGCAGCAAGAACAAGTGCCAGTTGTCCCTAACGGGAGGTGGGACAGAAAACGGAGAATCCCAAGCAGAAATATCGCTGAAAGGTGGCAAACAAAGTGCACACAACTCCCGCAGTGCTTGTGGCCCATAAAATGTCCCTTTCCTTACGCAGGAGCGAATAAATCCCAGCTACTGACTTGTTTACTGCTTGTTTTATGACTTGGATTTGTCTGTAGGAGCTGCATTTCACCAAACAAAGATAAAGTCCAGGCAGATATGAGCCAATGTTCGATTTTCTGTGTCGAAGTGCTAAAACAGAATATCGCACGCACGCACTGCAAGTATTGCTTGGTGTGGCTGTAGAGCTCAAACTGATGCCCCATACCACCACGCATGACGAATCTTCCAGCGCAGCACTGGCCACTCCCAACCGGACAAACACACCCGACCGAGCTGGGCCCGGCGGCGTCAGATGAACCACAGTGGGCGACTTTCAGCAAGCATAAACTTACCCTGACGCGGGGCGTTATCCCCGTTTGAGTGCACAGAAAGCGCATAACGGTGGCCCCAAAAGTCCTACATTTACAAGCAAAGAAAGCGCGTCTCAGTTTGCATTTCGCCGCGTGGTGCGCCACCACGATCATCAGCACCAGTGAGGCTCAGCTCACTCAAACATGGAGCTCCCATCACCTCGAAAACCTTGGGACGACACCCAGTGCTTTAACACCCCAGTACTTTGGCATCCTGGCATGCAAATCCTCCGTAGTTATGCCCCTCACTGTACTCCTAAGCATGGCAGTACTCCCCACACATTATTCAGTTTGGGAAGATCAACTTTTCAGTAACAAAGATGTCAATTGGGAAATGTTAAATTACGCTGGGAGCACGACAAAATCGCCACGTTGCCGAGCAAGAAAAACATGCAGTGCGCTCTCACGACTGGTCGCATCTGGCACCCTGAGTGCCCTTTACTTCCTGTTGTCCCCCATCCCCTACAAATGCTTCCGCTTGGAGCCCATCCGCCCCCAGTGCCAGGAAGCGCTCCACGCAGCACCCCCCCGAATTCCCCATCATGGCTTCCCTCTTCCGCGTGCTGGCGCCTCGGGTACCGAACCGTCGCGGCGACCCTCTCCCTCCCCTCCCTCGGTGACTGGGTCGTCGTCGGCACCGCCATCAGCCTCTGCAGCGCCATGGCCGTTCCCCTGGGCTACTCCCGCTCCCCTTGGCCCACCTGGGACATGGACCCCACCACACGGTGGCACATCCCCACCATGATCGGGCTTTTCATACTCGGCCTGCTGGAGGAGTGGGCGTTCCGCGTCCGCTGGGATGATCAATCTTCTTTGCATTTTTAGAACACCAGCTGTGCAGGTGAAATCGCTGTGGTTTACCCTTCAACAGCTCAGGCACACATCACATTTTTCCAAGGTTGGCATGCAGAGTCTTCATGACTTCAACCTGTTGCCCACAAGGAGATTTTACTTGCAAATTTGGTACTCGGAATCGTCTTGTGGGGAAAATGTGGAGTCTAAGGTGCATCTGGCAACATGCCATCAAGTTTGTCACTGCAAATGGTTGTTGAAGATGCAGGGGCGATTCAGTGCATTTATCACAATCGCCAGGCTCTAAATGCCTTTGTGGGATGACAGACCAGGCAGGATTGGCTACTTTGTGTACTGTTTCTCCAGCTTCAGATTGGCCAGATGAGAAACTGATGTCAAATGTTCGCATGGAGCTCCATACCTCGAGGCAACGCAGAGATGCTGTGTGCCAATGCAATAAAGCCCATGAGATGGGAACATGGCGCTACCAACGCCTTCAGTCACCCTTGAGTGGAACTGGGAGGATACCCTCCACAGCAGATGGCCCTTGACCACCTGGCAACTGTCAACAGCAAATCAGAGTCTGTTAGGGAAGAGACTATGTCGATTTTGGTACGCTTAGAGTCAATTTGACGTTAAGCTCCGACACCCCCCCCCCTCCCCCTCCTCAGCGCCAATCCTTATGTCCAAGCTAGGATGACTCAGCAACATTACCTAACAATGGTATTGAACTTCCAGGTGTTTCTAAGGAGGAAAACAATGAAAGTTGGGCTGATTTCAGTGGGCTGAAAATGGGAAAATAAATGCCCATTATAGCTGAGGCGGGCAGCCTCAATGGCTGCGAATTGATCCATTCTAAGGCCTTCTTTGACGATTGAACACTTGCAATAGGCTTAGAAACATGCCAGGTGTTGTTTGCCGCTTATCAGTGGCACTTTTGGCTACCTTACTTCCTTATGTCGATTTTGTGTCAATTACATAATCTTCAGGAGATTAGGGGCTGTGTTTGAGGCTAGGGCCTAACCTCACAGGTCTGGACACCCACCCACCCCTAGCGTCAATTTGACGCTAAGCGTACCAAAATCGACATTGACCCTTCCCTTACAATGAGGAAAAAAAGCAGATCTGCACAACGAAATACTGGCAGCCAATTCCATAGACTGCAGTTGTCAAAAACAGGCATCATAAGCAGTGATATGCAAGTTTATTGAACAAACCAACGGGGAAGGATATGGCTTGAAAAGGAAGCCGCACGCACGCCCTTCCTAGGTTTATTCACTGCTTCTAGCTAGAGCTCATGTGCTACATGTGCTACAAAAATAGCCCATACTCCGTCTTGGTCTGAGTGAAAGGATGTGTATTGGCCGTAGCTGAGTGATGATGTGGCATGTGACTGAATTGTCACATGGGTGCCTTTAATCAGACCGATGGCCCTAAGGACACAAACGACATCCATGCACGTTCGTACGCATTCGCACTTTTATTTCTTTTGCTCCAGAGTGCTTGCGAGAATGAACTCCAGCATGGAGCTGGACTGGCAAATATGTAAGCCAGAACTTCGTGTCGGGGCTGCCCTGATAGGCCACTAGCTGGCGCTGCCAGACTCAACCAGGGCTCCGCAAAGGCGTCCACAAAGGTACTCTTAGAGCATCTTTATCTGTGGGTGAAAAATGGCCACACTGCAATGTACACATTGTCCCACAATACGTATTGTCCCACGGGTACTATGCGGTCATCTTGAGCATCGCACGCCGGTGGGCAATGGACAACGTATTTGGGGCAAGTAGTCACCGCAGCTGAATCACCTTTACGGAACCAGCAATACAGCTTATAAAGCAACGGGTCGGTGTTTGATGGTCGGAGCCCAAGGGTATTAAAGCGACGCACCCCGCACTGCCTGCTGGTTGGTCCACAAGTTCCAACCTTCGCTCACTCCGTCTGGTCTCGCACGAGTGCCTGGAGCCATGGCCACCAAGGTGTTCATCGTTTTCTACTCCACCTATGGCCACATCTACAAGATGGCCCAGTCGGTGAAGGAGGGCGTGGACTCCGTGGAGGGCTGCGAGGGCATCCTGTATCAGGTGGGTCCCTGTACGGAGGCCAACCTGTCTGCAAGGTGGCATGGAAAAGACGAGGGAAGGAGGGGGGGAGTTTTACTGCGCGGCCCAGGCATTTTCATCCCTGGCGGTTCTGGCCTTGCTTCGAGATGATCTCGGAAACGGGGGATCTCCATCGACGAGTATACCGCCCCCATACGGGGCAACCCAGCGATCTACCTCGCGCGTCCCGGCTGCGCCCCAAAGGGCTTCCTTCGGGGTGAATCCCACGCGCCAGGAAAATTGTGATCTGACCTGCGGGTACCCGGTGGTATTGCTGAGCTGGCGAGCGGGGGGGACAGGAAATTGCAAGTCCTGGATCAGGCCGGATCATAATCCAACCGCCGCCGTCGGTGGGCCGATCCTGTGGCAGCGACGGGGCTGTAGGATGCTCGTCAGGAGGACGGGGATGGGGGCGATCCTGATGGTCGGTCGGTGCCATCTGGCAGCGCCTCTTCGCCAGCGTGGAGCTCTTGTCGTCCGTCCCTGCTGACAGCGGCACCGCGTCTGGTGGCATTGGCGCTGTCCGCGACGTGGAGGGCCGTGCGCAACCTCACGTACCGCAGTCGACACTCCCGCTCCTTGCGCTTGGGAAGGGTGAACAGCGCGCGATGGGGTGGGGGCCGCCAGCCCATACTGGCAGCGGGTGGCTGACAAGAGTTGGATGACGTTAAGCTACCAGTGGTGCAACATTCCAGACTTAGTAGGATTCACAGAACTGCCCGCATGCGCAGATCGCGGTACGGCGATCACAGGGTTTGTTGTTTTTATGGAATAAACCCATGCGCAGAAATCTGTACACGGATTGTGCACATATTTGCCCACAGTAGGTTATTTTTAACCCTTCAACATAGTAACGTAACGCTTGGCCTTTGTTTGCGGAGAAGACAATGAAATAAATAACTCTTTTTTATTAAATTTTTGTGGAGTATCGTAAAAATACTAAAATTGGCGTTTTGAAAAATAAAATGCGGAGCAAAAAGCGTAACGGTAAAATTTTTTGATGCAGAAGGGTTTAAAAACCTATCGACCTTCGTTTGCCCCAGCAACTCTTTCTGGAAAGGGCAATGAACCGCTACCCCCGTTCTTGTTTGTTACGCCGACTGGAAAAGCTCCAGTCGGCTAGATAGCCTCCCTGGATAGTGTCTCTTGAATTGGGCACTGTGGGCAGAGTACTGTGGAAGCAATGACGCATGGCTGCTGAGGCGACTGATGGAAAAACTGTTTTCAGATCGAGGCAGCAACTTCCTCTTCTTTACGAACGTATAGATGGGGGCAGGTTAGCTGTCGGAGGGTGCATCACCTCGATTCCTTAGGTTTCTAGCTCAGCAATGCTGTATAAGTTTCTTTCTGCTTCGCTGCATTTCTACCTCTTCCGATGGTGAAGAGAGAACGATTTAACCAGTTTGAGCCGATCATTTAGAATCTGCTGAAAAGGATGTGGAAGGTTGAGGAGGCTTCAAGCAGCAGCCACCACTTACCATCAGATGGCGCTGTATCTTGTGATACCACTCTGTTTCTCTGTGCCAAGTGCTCATATGGCAGTAAAGCTCAGTAACGATTGTTTTTGCTGAGTGGCTGTTGAGCAAGTGACAACAGTACTAAGGGCAGTTGTCCACAGATCCAAATCCCCATACTTGTCCAGCCTTTCAACCCTGCAACAAATAGGGCCTCAATAACAACCGATGCATTTATCAGCATCGTTGGATTTTCCAAATCCAGACCATGAAGATAGCTGTTGCTGCCCTGACATCAGGGCTTTCCTTCCTGGGCTTGGGCATTTCCAGCAGCAGAACACTAGATATCAACGACTTAATTCCTGTAACATCATATGGTTAGCTCCTAATAATTTTAGCAGGCCAGACATGACCATGCAAAGAAACTCTAACTGCTAGTTTGGAGCCTAGCCATGTGCGCTTTCCATGCTTTCTGCTGCTGAAAATGTAGGGCTAGTGGATGGCTGGTGTGGCTGGAAAGAATGTGTTTGCTGCAAGAACTTGTGGCTCATGCTCCTGCCTTCTGTCTTGCAGGTTGCAGAAACGCTTCCTGATGAAGTTCTTGAGAAGATGCACGCTGCTCCAAAGCCTGATGTCCCTGTGCTGGACCCAAAAGATCTGCCTGATGCTGATGGCATCCTTTTTGGGTTTCCAACAAGGTACGCAGTGGATTTCTTGTTTGTTGCTGGCCACCACAGAGGGATTTTGATTGACATCTGTTGTGCTCAAGTATTATTGGCAAATCCCCAGCATTATTGTCAATGGCCTGTTGTGCAGCAAAACGGCTATGTCTTGTTTGCTTCAGTACCTGGGATGCCAATTCTTGTGATATCTGTGCTCACTGCCCATGCATCGCAGTTTCACATTCTTTTTGCGCATCCTGTGTGGCATTAATCAAACAGTGAGGCTTCCCACTGGCTTGTTCAACCCTCCCTACAGTTCAACCTGCTTGCAGTCTTCACCTGTGTTGGTAGCAAGAGGCCATGCAAGTTCTATAGGTATTTGCCTGGTGAATGGACATTTTGTAGAATTGATTGGTGAATACAGGACAGTTGGTATCACACTTCAATTGGATTCACAGATTGATGGAGAAGGCTGTACGAGTGAATGCCTTTTCACAGCAGTTGACTTAGTGTCGCTGCTTTGACATCTGTGGAAATGAACAATCCCGTCATTGCAACAGCAATGCGCTCCTATTCACTGTCCCCACATCTTATTATCCTATTGTAAAAGATGAATGGGGGGTGCAACTGTGTGCAGGTTTGGGATGATGTGTGCTCAGATGAAGGCCATGTTCGACGCAACTGGTGGCCTTTGGATGGCAGGCAAATTGGTTGGGAAACCAGCTGGGTGCTTCACCAGCACAGCAAGGTGGGTTTGGCATTTCACACTGTACTAAAGAACAGCACAGCATCACAGGGCAGCCCCTCAGCCAGAGACTGCTCCACAGATGTGCTGCCAGTGTAGGTCTGCAGTCTGTAGGTGTGCACTTTCAGCTAACATGAGTGGATCTACAACGTGGCTTCATTCATTGTCCATCGTTAGTCTGTGTTGGTAATACCTTGTTGTCTGGCTTCTTACAATGGTGCATGCAGTATTCTGGCTTCTTCCTGCCCTTTGAGTTTACTTTCATCCTCATGTGTCAATTGTGTTCTGCAGCCAAGGCAGCGGGCAGGAGACAACGATCATGACAGCTGTCACGCAGCTCACCCACCACGGCATGATCTATGTGCCCGTCGGCTACACCTTCGGGGCGGGGCTGTATGACACGGAAACTGTCAGAGGAGGCGCACCATGGGGAGCAGGTACAGTGAAGGACCCAGGGTGGGGTGGCGGGTTGGCTGAGTGCTACCCATGAGTGCAACCATGGTATCTATACATACTGAAGACTGAGTACTAAAAAGTGCTGGAGAAGCAAACCCTGAAGCCTTGTTACCTGTCGAGCCTGGGCCCAACTCTGACCAGTGACTGGGAAGCATGTGCGTTGGGCTGAGGATCAGGAATATTGTGCCATCCAGACTCCTGCTGGGCCAGAATAACTGGAATTGAGCGGCCTGACTGTGCAGGCACTGCAGATGCAAGCCAAATCCACATACTAACCACAAGTGTTTTTCGTAGGATGCATTGCTGGGGCAGATGGCTCCAGGTGCCCAAGCAAACTCGAGCTCGACCATGCAAAGCACCAGGTGGGCACCACAGTCAGGATGTGTTATTGGGAATAGCGGATCTTGCGATTCATAGCCAGATGCTGCTCCCACCACAGCTACACAGCTACAAGACTACCGTACACAAGTGTTATTTCTGCTGTAAGGATACAAAATACTTATGTCCACCTAATTGTCAGCACACATACACCAAAGCACGTTCAGGTCCAGGTGCAATGGGGGCGATATCGAGCGCATGTGGCTGATTGCAGAACAGCCCATTCAATGTTGCCCTAGGGAACAGCAACAGCAAGACAGGTCCAACGATTTAGAGGTCAGGAATTCCCCCCCCAAGTCACACCAGCAAGGGGTTCGTGTATGTGCATGGGCTTTTAGGCACTTTTGCTACAGGGTTGGTGTGGCAAGTGCCAGCAGCTGAAGATCTCTCGTTTCTAATCTTTGCAGTTTTTGCAGTGTCTCTCAACTCCGGATGGTGTTCTGTACCACTGTGGCACCGTTCCTGTGCGTACTCAGCCATGTGCCTGTACACCTTTGCTGGTGGACTTAATTTCACTGTCAACAATGTTTTGTTCAGTATGAGTTTGATGGGCGTGATTCTTATGTAACAGAAATCATCGTGCTTGCTGGACCGCCTCTCGGTCTATGCTGCAAGTCCCCAGTACCACAGTTCGATTCCAGGCTCCAGTAGCAACACATCTGTCAAATTGGCTATTCATCACCTGCCCAAAGCACCCTGACTCAGGAGGGGTTGTTGCCTGAGTTGAACAGTCATCGCATTGTTCTGAAAGGGCCTTGGCTTGTTGTTCCAAGATTTCTTAGCGTTCCACACATGAACATGCATGTTTTGTAGCCAGCTGCTGGAACATGTGTTTTGGCACTCTGTTCCAGGGCTATGAGTGGCATCTTGGTTGTGCAGTTTTTGTTGCAGCTGCGAAGTTTACCCTTGCCACAGACACGCACACCAAACTACTGCACTGAAAATCTTGTCCTGGTTTGCTAGCGTATTTGACACATTGCTCTGTGGCAACCTGCAGGGCCAGTACTTTGCTGAGAAGGCCAAGCTGCTGAAGAAGTAGACCGCTGCATTGCTTGAGCAGTCGTTTGTGCTGTACGTGATTATGCCCACAGCACCCTGCCAGCTATTGGCCAAGTTTCAATACAGTGCTTGCAGTGGTGAAAGAACCACATGGTACAGTGAGACCTGGTGACGATGGTGTGTCATCGTTGCACAGTTGTTGGCCTTTTCTCCCATCGCCGTCTGTAAATCATGGCCAAATTTTTAGTACCGATAAGCGAGCCGTGGCCCGAACCGATGCTGCCCAGGAGGCCTGCCCCTCGTTACCAGCTCACCGATCAATCCCTCGATATCTCCATTTGTATGTCCCACTGGTCGTTTTGCCATCGTGGTCGATGGCACATTAGGCGATGATTGTTGATTGCTCTGTGACACAGCGACAGTCGCTTGCTTCCCGCACTGTGTAGCTTGTCGGAGCTCAACTTTGACGCACGAAACAATACCTCCGCAGAAAAACCATCTGCATCCATTGCCCGTAAGTTGTGTCGTCTGGACCATCCCGCACAGTGCTGCCTACTAGCCACGGCTAGCCCTCTCTAGCATAAAAGCAAACGCCACGTTCAGGGTGGCGGTGGCATCATCGTCATTTTTTACAGAACAGGCGGGCGGTGGTCACCACAAGCGGTGTGAAGCGTTCTCCAATACTGGAGAATTCTCCAATAGATCTGTCCATGAACCTACATGATGACCACTACTAAGGCAACCGCCAAGCCGCTCCAGGGTAACTTGATGCTTTTTTCCATAAGGGAATTCCCAAACTGGGCCACACGTTATCATCCTAATGTCGCGGACCGTTGTGTGCTGCCTGTGCTCCCAGCCAGTATTGGCAAGACATGAATGCGCGTTGTATGGCGATCAACACACAGCCAATGGAACGGACTGTGGCGAACGTACTACCTCAGCGGCAGGTGGGGTTGCAGGCGAATGAGTGTGCTCCTTCCAACCCACCCACCAAGAACCGCCAGAGATGCCGTGAGATGGGCCACGGACGGGTGATTCTCAGTGTTAAGCCATGCGGGAGGGGCCAGGCGGCACCACGTACTAGGGTAATAAGCGACCTGTCAGCTAGAAAGCACACCTGTCAGCGCCCTGTGCCCTATATAGACAACCTGTTCGTGAAAACCGCCAGCAACCGAAGGTGACTGCAACTTCGTTGTGAAGCTGTCCTTCTCCCGTCGATGAAATTGGCCCCTGAAGGGAGGGGAGGGGGGGCATCCCGGCTCAAAGGGTGCAACCCCGATTGTTACTTGAAACATGACACGTCAGACCTGCGCAAGGGCGTCGTCTCTGCACTTGGGGACCGCCTTTGGAGGCCAAGTGTCGGCCTCCGGTGCCAGTCCCGACAACCGGCAGGGGTCTTCAAGGGCAGGCGGAGAGTACCTGTCTGGGTTCCGGCGAGCAGAATCGAGGAGGGCGGCTCGACCTGACGCGTCCGAGCCTGCTCGCATGGCTTCGATGCAACGCAGGTCTTGGAGGACATTGCTGCCATCCCGAACACAGGTGGGCAGCATGAGGTCGAGAGGAAGGGCAATGCTGACTTCCGTGTGTGCGTTCTCCCACATGGCGAAGAGCTTCCAAGAATATTCGGCTTTCGAACGGGAAATTCTGGGGGGATCACAAAGGGCCTCCTGATCGTTTCAACAGTGGGTTGACGCCGGTAGCTGCCAACAAAAAAACTGGAAAGGTTGGCATTTTGGGGAACAACCATCGGCATAAAATTACTGGCTACACCAAATCGGTGACTGCTTGCACCAAGTCACGTGCAAATCATGTCCAACTCTGTCCAAACTAACCTAACCTAGAACCTAAACCTAAAACCTAAAACTAAACCTGTCCTAACCCCAACCCTAAAACTCACCCTGAAACTAAATCTAACCCTAAAATTGAGGTTAGGACAAAGTGTGCACGTGACTTGGTGCAAACAGTCACCGATTTGGTGCAGGCAGTAATAATATTTCACAACCATCAGGGGCGTTGAAGGCGGCAATTTCTGAGGTGCCTATGCGGATGGAGCACGTGACTCGGCGTCTTCTATCTCCCTGGGCATAGCCGCCTTCGAGCCTTTTGATCGGGTCCACTCGCCCCTGAATCGCGCCTGAACCGCAAGCCTGACCATGTGTGACCGGCGTGGTAACCAGCTTGTTCCATGTCGGCTTAGCATGGATTTCAGCGAGGACCCTTGGCGCCAAATATGCTCCACCACGACCTCTTGTTTTCCTTTGACTCCACATGTGGATCCACAGACCATTCCATCATTTGTGCCATTCCGCAATCGCAGTGCAAGCGAGAGCAAAAGTTAGCCCTTGATGAAAGCATTCGTTTGACAAGCTGTGAACCAGGCGGGCTATGGTTGACTGACTCTACGATTGTGGCTGTCGCGTAGGGACGGGCAGCAAAATCAGGCTGGCGCTCGCTCATGCTATGCCTGGTGAGGAATTTCAATGAACGCGTTTCAAAGCAGCTGTTTTCACAGCGTATACCCTGATTATTCGACGATTTATTGTGATGTGGTTATTCTATCCTCGAGGTGATTTGGTGGTAATTTAGGCAGCAAAGTCGTTGCGCTCTTTCCGCTACTTGCTTTGGAGCGAGGGGCAGGAATGGCACATTTTCATTCACGTACAAACTTCTGGTGTCTTGTTACTGACTTGATCAGCAGCACGCCACTCTTCTGTGTGATCAATTAACAGCTGCGTTCGAACAATGGCGACGTCTTCAAAGTCCAGCAATTAGCGATTTCGAAAGTGCATGTTCTTAATTCTGCCTGGGGACACCCGTGTTTCTCGGAATCCAACTCCAAAATTTTGGGGACCGCGTTGATGCACTGAACTCGACGCTTATCTCCTGCCTCTACGCTGCAGCCTCATTACGAAACCTCGACATCAAATAACAAAAGTGCCAATGACGGACCTTGCAGGTGCCTCCTGGACTTATCAAATTCGGCTGGCGACGCTTCTCCTCTGGTGCGCACCGTTTCGAATTATTCCTACGCAGCAGTGAGATAGATTGCCAAACTCTCTTTTCATTTGTTTCTAGGGATTAGAACCGATTGCTATTTACTACAGCAATAGTATATTTCCGTTCCTCAAGTTGACTTGAAACTTCACATGGCGCATGCTCTTCGGCCATCTGTGTACAGAATGCCAATACAGTTTTCCTGAATTGCAGGAGAGCAATGAACCAGCAAATGTGACGGGTTGCGGAGTCGCAATTGCAGGAAGCAGCAATAGCTATGCGAATTCTTCAACATACTACAATCAGATTCCGGGGTTGATTATTCGAGTACGTAAATACATGAGAGATGTGTCTTGTTTGGCGTTTTGAACAAGCAGCCAATTGCAAAGTCCCCTGATCTGAAGAATTTGAAGAAACAGTATCGTCCAAACTGACTGTATGCATGTAGCAATGCACTCTTCCTCGACAAGCCAGGACCCAGCATACGAGCAACGTCCATATGTTTAATCTACACGATGGTCATCATGATGATCGCTGCTTGGATAAATGCTCTAAAACACAAGGGCGATGTATGGGGGTTGGAAGTTGCAGCAATGCGTGAAGGTGCTCCAAATGGAGACTTGACCAAGCACAACTCACAGATTGCGTTGTACTTCTTCTGTCCCATGTTAATTATCATCTATGACTTTGAGGCCTTACCTCTCCAACGTGCCTACATCAGTTTTATATGAAATTTACCCCAAAGTTAAGCTTGTGAGGTTGGAGTAAACTACCAAAATTTCAAGTTGATCCATTCATTTTTGAGGGTTTGGCAGTACTTTGTAGCAAGGGTCCTCTGGCCAGAAAAGGGTCATTTTTAGACGTTGCACCGAAAAACAGCCATTTTTGTTTGTTTTGAGGAGCACGCCTTCGCGGCAGCAAAACAAACCCGTCCTTGCAAAATTGTTCACGCCGTTCAGAGTGGAGGTCTCTAGGGTGCTTGCAAAGAGGTACGGCAATGAAACACGCGTTTCGAATGTTTTGATCATCAAACTCGCCATGGGTTGTAGCACCAATTTAGGCTTGATCTGGTGGATGGGAGCGATGTTCCGGACCCGGAATGTTTTGGCCAGGGCTTTTCATGTGCCTTCACCACCATCAAGGCAACTGAGGGAGGTCTCCCAATCCTTTTAAGAAGGAGCCAGAGATGGTGATGGCTATCACCCCGATGTAACCCACACAATTAGTGAATTGGGCATCGCCACAGGAATGGCGATTTGTCCTTGTTTCTGCACTTCAGAGGATTGGGTGCAGGGAGGATGGCCACAAAAGAGAATTCGGGTCTTTTGGAGTGATGGAGACTTGCTAGGTTCCAATGGATTGTGTACCATGTACAAGCATCGGCCATTGTATTCACAAACAGTGGCTATTTTTGAACTTCCAGCTTAGGGCCCCACACAAGCCCCAATTCAAGCATCAGCTGAGGCAAAATATGCGGGCAAGGCTATCAAACAGCCTTGGAGCGATAGCACACACACTGAACCTTGGCTTCAAGGTTTAAGACGTTGGCCTTTCCGCTCGTTGGAGGTCCGCCCATCAGAGATTGAGAAAAGCAGCGATTTCGGGCATAGTCAACGCTGCGACTATGGCCGCCTTAGACAAGGATAAAAGCATGTTTGAATGTGTTCAGCAAGTTCTATGCCACGTCCTGGACCCCGTCTTTTGCTCCAATGGTGGCAATCACTGGCACTGCAATTCCTTGCCACGGGAGTGCCCCCAAACCAGGGTGGTCTGCAAGACCGCGAAAATTGAATGCACATTTTTTGAGCTGTGCCAAGGCAATTTTGGGGGCCAACCCATAGGGGGTGAAAACTAATTTTTTTTCCTTGAAATGCAAACTTAAGAGCTTTTGAGACCCAATCTTTCCGATTCTGGCCTCCATTTGTAATTTAGATGTCGTTTTCATGACGAGATTTCTCCATCAAATAGACGACAATTAATGTGGGACCGAGGAAGTATATTGGAGGAAGTATATCGCTTGATTTTGAATAAAAATGTGTCTGATCC